AGAGCTCAGGTGTGTAATACCATTATAGTAATACAAAGATCAGAGCTCAGGTGTGTAATACCATTATAGTAATACAAGGACCAGTGATCAGGTGTGTAATACCATTGTAGTAATACAAGGACCAGTGATCAGGTGTGTAATACCATTATAGTAATACAAGGACCAGTGCTCAGGAGTGTAATATCATTGTAGTAATACAAGGACCAGAGCTGAGGTGTGTAATACCATTATAGTAATACAAAACCAGTGCTCAGGTGTGTAATACCATTGTAGTAATACAAGAACCAGTGTTCAGGTGTGTAATACCATTATAGTAATACAAGGACCAGAGCTCAGGTGTGTAATACCATTGTAGTAATACAAGGACCAGAGCTCAGGTGTGCAATACCATTATAGTAATACAAAGACCAGAGCTCAGGTGTGTAATACCATTATAGTAATACAAGGACCAGTGTTCAGGTGTGTAATACCATTGTAGTAATACAAGGACCAGTGCTCAGGTGTGTAATACCATTGTAGTAATACAAGGACCAGTGATCAGGTGTGTAATACCATCGTAGTAATACAAGGACCAGTGCTCAGGTGTGTAATACCATTGTAGTAATACAAGGACCAGTGATCAGGTGTGTAATACCATCGTAGTAATACAAGGACCAGTGCTCAGGTGTGTAATACCATTGTAGTAATACAAGGACCAGTGATCAGGTGTGTAATACCATTCTAGTAATACAAGGATCAGTGCTCAGGAGTGTAATACCATTGTAGTAATACAAGGACCAGTGATCAGGTGTGTAATACCATTGTAGTAATACAAGGACCAGTGCTCAGGAGTGTAATACAAGGACCAGTGATCAGGTGTGTAATACCATTGTAGTAATACAAGGACCAGTGATCATGTGTGTAATACCATTGTAGTAATACAAGGACCAGTGCTCAGGAGTGTAATACCATTGTAGTAATACAAGGACCAGAGCCCATGTGTGTAATACCATTATAGTAATACAAGGACCAGAGCTCAGGTGTGTAATACCATTGTAGTAATACAAGGACCAGTGCTCAGGTGTGTAATACCATTCTAGTAATACAAGGACCAGTGCTCAGGAGTGTAATACTATTGTAGTAATACAAGGACCAGTGATCATGTGTGTAATACCATTATAGTAATACAAGG